TATGTATCTTATTATATGCGCTTACGAATTAAAATTATTAAGAATTTCGACAATTTGCGTAATTACAAACAAATACATAAAGCAATAAATGTAAATATATATTTAAATGTATGCATGCCGACGTACACCCGGACCGTTGCTGGCGTGAGCACTCATATAAACCAGTCGAAATTACTTCATTTTATGTTTTGTAAACAAAATGAAAACATTAACTTTATCTATATTCGATGATTATTTTCGATTCGCATATTTACGGAATTACGGAAAGTTTCACACACGAATTATATGCTTAATATGTACTTAGATATGTATGGTATAGGCAGAGTATACATATGTCTGGTATGTACATATACATATATGTAGGCATATTCGGCACAATTTTTGGAAATAGTTTTTAAAAGCATATATTTTTCGTATACTTTTCCTCGAAAACCAACACGGTACACGGAAATTGGGATATAAATTACATCAAATTTTTATTGTGGGTGTGTGAAAAATATTGCAAATGTATAAATATGTTGTTTATGAAGTAGTCGAAAATAAGAATCTTGTATATTTATTGCCAAATTCGTCCTCAACAATCAATCCATCGAGTTCGCCAACTATAATTTCGATAATATATATAGTTTATGCAGAAGAATCCCAATAGCTCTGAAAATTCGAAAATTGTTGACAAACCGATTTTGGGTAATGTTTTTGTAGCGGCAATACTCGTTCCACTCCAAAATCATAGCCGTCGCTGGCCTACGGAACGACAATCGGAGCTATCTGATACTACCCAGCGAACACACGGTGGCCGACCTATGTAAACAGAATACAAGTATATCCGATTTTATATTCAGCTAAAGATTCTCATATTAGCATATATGTACATTGCAGTTGTTTGGGGAATATTTTTAAACGATATAATAACAAAAATATCAACTAAATTGTCATAGTCATGGAATTTCTTAAATCGTGTATTTGAAGAGAAAAGTGATCGGTATGGGGGATGACGAGAATAAATTTTATCATCAAAAGTTAAATTGGTCAGGGAATTTGGTAGGAAATACTAAGTGAAGACCAAATGGGTCGTAAGTCAACGTTGTTTTAGATGTCACAGTTTTCCGCAAGAAGTTACACTGACACTTTTTGGTCTGCAAGAATTCTTTTAATGGATTAAGGAAGAAAAAAATTGTAATATGTATATTTTTATCGTTATTAGGTTAGGAACCACATCTAAGTTCGTAACCCAATAACGATTCCCCTAGTGTTAAAATCTAAAACAAAAAAGACAAGGCAATTTTTGAGAATAAAAAAATATTACGCATCGATTGTTTTAAAATTTTAAGTAAATATTTAATAAAAAATATTAAAAAAATAAATTAAATATTTTTCGAGTTACGCGCAATCTCCGACGATGCTAAAAAACGGTCCTCCACTGCTGCAGTTAGTCCGAACTTGTCTGTGGATGAAACCTAAAAAAATTTCTACTAGAAGATGTTGCCTACAATGATATATAGTCGAAAAAATTTTAAACTGACAAAATGGTGGCGTTTTAAAAATTTTTTGATTTCGATTTTTGATAAGATAAAAATTCTGACAAGGTCAACCATTTTGATAAGATTAAAAACTGATGAAGAACTATATACAGAAAAAATTTGATAGTGATAGGATCATTTGTCTCCGAGTGATCACTTAGTTAAATTAAAAAATTTAGTTTCAAGAAAATGCGTTTAAAGATAAACTTATAGAGCTGATTGAACTGAGCGGCTTAATTGAAAAGCCTCTAACTCAAAACATATTTCAGACATTGATTTAAAATTTTATTATAATATTTGTAAAGGTATAACCTAACGAAATATAAAAAAAATCGATTTTGTTTTCAATTTCACTAGCTGAAGAGACACACCTGTGCCAAAGAATAGTGAAAACACGAAAACTCTGAACAGGTATACATGTTATGTATATTATATATGATCAGCGTAGCGAGCTGATTCGATTCAGCCCAGTCCGTCTGTCTGTAGCTCAGTTTATGGGATATCACTATGAAATTGTGCACAAGTCCTTCTCTCCCAAAGAAACTGCTATTTGATGGAGCCGCTACTATAGGATTTGGTACATAACTGCTATAGAAACTGATTGATCACGAAAAAAAGATTATTATTTAAGGGAACGCTACAATCTCCAAACATATTGTTCAGATCGAACCACAATATCGTATGCATGTATCATATACTCGTTTGTAAACTATTAAATGTACATAAGAGATAATTTTTCTTATTAGGTAACCTTAATTCGACTTGAAGGTTGTTTATACCGAACAACGTGTATAAAAAGATGTAGCCAAATTTTTTCCGTTGTATAAAGCCGTTGGCCGGTTACGTTTCCAGATTTAGTTTAACATATGCAGGCTTGCAAATAATGCATAAAAAAAAAATTTACGTTTGAATTCAAATTTTTTTTTTAACGCAAATACGGCATTAAAAAATACAAAAAAAAATTTTATCCCGCATACCGCAACCATCAGGGATGGTTTTCAATTAAACTTTTCTACAAAAATTACTATTTATATTCAAAAAGTCTTTAATACACATTTTGTACACATGTATATGTAGTTTTCAATATATTTTGCTAAAATTTTTAATTTGTTTCATTAAAACACCCTGTATAAATGCAAAGATCTATTTAAGATCCACCATCGTATATAATTTCACTGATAGCAATTGATGAAATACTAATTTGTATTATAAAAATGAAAAATCTTCTTTATTTTCTAACGCGAACAGCAACAACCACAACAACACTGCTTATAAGTGGCATTGGCAATTTGTAAGCTGTTAATTCTATTGGCTGCTTTTTTGGCGTTATAAAATTCTCACTTCAATTTATCACAAAGCTTATACAAATGTACACACACACACACATTCATACAGGCATGAGCACGCTGCCAGTAAAAGCGTTTCAAGCTTAGCAAAGCGATGCTAACAAATGCTCAAACGCCTTTTGCTTTGGCCATGCAATTTATGTGCAAATACACACCAGCTCGGGTGTTTACATTACTATAAGCACACACACACACACACATACATACATACATATACAAAAGTAGCTACATGTGTAAGCACATACTTATACATACTAAACATGGAGAGGCAATTAAAATATTTCACTTTTTTATGGACTATAAACCACTAGCAGAAATGCCAATAGACGCGAAAGACCAATAACGCGCGGCTAAATACAGGCAAACGCAACAACAACAACAACAGCAACAGCAATAAATACCATAGAATAGAATAGTAATCGGCATAGCGACAATAATGTTAGCAACAACAACAATAGCGAATAGCAATTATTTGTTGTACAGCAAACAATCATAACATATCAAGTATGAAATTATAGCGAAATAGTAGTAAGCAAAAGCGATACCAACAACAACAATAAAAATAAATCAGCAACATTGTATGACTGCTGAATAAATATTAATGCGAGTATTCCTCGGCGCGCCGGGAGGCGTTTTGGGCGCTGCGCACCTATGGAGGCCAAACACATACACATATGCATACTTTTTTATTTGTATTTGCGTGCAATAGTATAATAAGGCTACTTTGCAAATATAATTAAAAGGAAGAGATAAGGGAGTGCTTGTTTCGGGGGCAACCGAACTTTTGAGACGAAAAAAAAATGTGTTGCAATATCTCAAGATATCTAGCCAACTTGTGAACCGATTTTCAAAATTTTCGGTCTTCAATTAACTTATGACATAGCTCACGTGACCACTTATTTTCATTGATATATGCGAATTATTATATTAACGACCAACTGAATAAAAACAAGAAAAAACCGTTAACTTCGGCTGCAACGCAGCTATAATACCCTTCATAGGTGCATTTTTTATAGCATAAAAGGGTATAAAAATATCTTTATTCTTTATTATTTGTATGGCAGCTATAGACTTTAGTTGGGACCACTCTGCACAATATGTTCGGAAAATGTAGCAAAGAATTGGATAATAATATTTGCCAAATTTCTTGAACATACCTCGCCAAACGAAAAAGCATTCGCTATTCTTCTTCGTTCAGTTTGTATGGCAACTATATGCTTCTTGGGAAGAAAAGGATGCGTGCGAAATTGTAGAGCGATATCTCAATAACTGAGGAACTAGTTCGCTCAGAACAGATGGAAATCTATAACCAAATGTGAACTATCGAAGCAGGTGTGGCCAAAATACGACAAGACAAGAACTAAGGATTTATTAAACAGGTCCAGGAAAAGTATATACAGGCTTACAGCTATCATAATGGGGCATTGGCCATTTGAAGAACATGCATTAAAAATGGGAATTCCTTATAAAAATATTTGTCGTGGTTCTATCACAAACCCGACATAGAGCTCTTGGAATCCAACTGGTATCAAAACTTGAATGTCTATCGATAAAAATAATAACGGAGATAAGTAATAACATTGAGGGCACCAAATGGTTTGATCACAACGATTAAACGTGATATCACAATGTAACGGACTTACGATAGTCTAGCGCTAATTGAGCACTACTACCAACATTTTTATTTCAGTAACAGACCTACAAGTATAGCACTTTATGTTTTGTAGTTTCGAGTAGTAGGACGTTTTGTAGCTCTTCTAAATGCGCCTACGTACAATAACCGCTCAGAGTAACAAGGCACGTTTGGAGCAAGTCTCGCCAGCCTCATCTGTTTGATACACGTAACTCTATATCTATCTTGTTAAGATTTAGATATTACTAACAACCGTTAGGCACACCAACAAGTATGTATCTATTTTACTTTTAGTGCCACATGTTGCGAGAGAACAAAAAAAAATTAAAAAAAGAACAAGAAAAGCAAGTTAAAGTAAGCAAATAAACTAAGCCCAAATAATAAATGAAATTTTTTTATTTCTATATATCCTTAAAAAGGTATACATATATATATATATACATACTCATATATAGATATTTAATTGTTGTACATATGTACGTATGTTTAAATAAAACTTACCAGCTTTAAATTGTTGTAATCAGTTGTGGTGCATGGAAACGGTAGCATTGCGAGGTGAAGCAGTTTAACTGTTTGGCATTTGTTGTTGTTGTTTTAATTATTTTTTAACATTTATTATTATTATTATATCTTTATACTTTTTGTCGTCTATAATACTTGTTTGCAGAATTCAGTTGTAGAACACCGATTGGTAGGCACGACGCGCATATTTACATACGCATGCATATACATATGTATATCTGCTGCGCATATGTATGTAATATTTAGCTTTTATATATGTATAGACTTTATTCAGAGCAAGCGCGCGCGATTTTACATACAGACAACGGTAGCGGCTGCACTCCAATAAAACCAAATGCATGGAAATGCTTTAGAACAGCGCTAAACACACATACATATATACATAAGTTAATGTACACACATTTATAATTTAATACACACAAATATACATACGTGTTAAAACACAAGCGTACATACATATATGTACACTTGTTTGCGTTGAAGTGTTGAGCAACAGTAGCAGACGCTACCAGCTAGCGAACGCCGCCGTGGTGTTACACACACACATACACACAGCTGTATGTATGTTTATAATATATTGCCAATCTGTCTGTCCGTCGCACAGCCGGCGCGTTTGTTTGTTTGTAGGTGTGTCGCCTGCGCGCACTATCACTGACCGACTCAACTGGCGTGCGGCAAATTAATTATGCTCAGCATGTGGATTGATATCTGCTACAGTTTGAATTGGCTTCGTCGCCGCGCGGCAGACGCAGACGCAGACACGCGGGCAATCCCAAGTTTTGTATGCGCCACTCGAAAACGCTTTCCGCCCGGCGTTGTCGAGCTGTTGAGCTGTGGCTAGCGCTGTGTAGCTGAACGGCTGGCTAGCTGGTGGCTGGTGGCTAGTGGGTTGTCTGTCTGCTTCGCCTTTGTGTTGCTGTTGATCCGGCCGTTCGCGAATCGTTGACGCTTTTTTTCAGAGGCGCTTTAGTGTGCGTGTATGTGTGCGTATGTGATTGTGTGTGTCCACGCGTTGTTTACACGTATAATTTGTGTTTTGCGAGTGCGTAGATAGCTATCGGATGTGCTACATGCATATAAATGTGCGTGGCTACATGTACGCGTTGCCGTCTAAGCGCCCGGGCGCACACTTTGCTGACTGACCGACTGTGGATCTGGAATAGAATAGGAATAATAATTATTGGAATTGAATTCATCACAAGTGCGGGAATAATTTAATGGAATTAAGTTAAATGCTCCTTTTGCGAAATAGAGTTGTTTGAAAATATTTTTATATCCGCCCAACGCACCCACAATAGTATAATAGTTTTGTTGATCTAACGGTTGTTTGTAATACCTCAAATGTACAGTATAGCAGTTAGGTTACATACATACAAACCATATACCATTTGATCAAACTTGAACCGGACTGACAAAAAACACTAAATATTCACGTATTTTAATATAATACAAATCTTTATTATCACCTTTGAAATAGGCTTATTTGGAGCCAATATAATTATCAATACAATTGCGACTTTTGGTTTTTCGTCGATTTTGACTCATTTTTGTATGGCCATTCGCTATATTTTTTGGACAGTTTCGACGTCATATTCATAAATCCACGTCGCGTCATGTCGGGTCCTCAGCTACGTTGTCAAGCATCAATTTGCGACCTCTACTCGAAATTGTTTTTACAAAAGATTTAGCTCTTTTGGTAAGCGACTAGCTTTGACACCCTTCATACCCAAATCATTAACCAAAAGGTCTTGAGTGGATCCATAAGAGATATGGAGATCCTCTTCTCTCTGATGCCCAGACGATTTTCAAGCACTGTTTCTTAAACTTCTTCGTTGTTATCGTCATTAACAGTGGTAAATAGACGAATCGCATGAGGTAAGTTTTCTATGACTTCATTACCATCACAGAAAGCTTTGTGCCTCCCAACTTGTATTTCGTGATAAGGTATACTCCCCAATACACTTCTGCAATACTTTGGAAAAATTGGAAATATAAAATTCTAAGCAAACTAGTTCTCCAATTCTTTTCCATGGTAAAAAACGCCAGACAAACTCGTGTCGTAAACAAACAGCTGTCAAACGCACACTAACTGACATATGGAGATAATACTTCACACGAATGTTAAGTAAAAATTTTGCCAATCTAAGAAAAAAAGATGTTATCGTTTCGATTCGTGCGCGCAGTTTAAATGGACTAGTTGGTATTTAATCAAAAATTATCAGGATTACGAGACGAATTGATTTCCGCATTCGAAAGTACTAAAGTTTCTTTAACTGCCTACAGAATAACGTCAAGAATCATCATCTATCGTTACGATACCGTTCAAGTGGTCGAAATCAGGTAATACCTTTCCTGAACTCATTACAATAAATTTACAAATTCCGTTCTTCTCGTTAACTTTATTTCATATATTATCGGTTAGAGAGCGAGATTTATCAATAAAAGTTAAGCGAGAAAATTTCGCTCAGCATAGTGTGTTATTGTCTCAAGACTGAGTGATAAAAGTACCCTTCTCCCAGCCAATATTATTATCACAATACTAATTATGTTAATCAGGTTCTGTTTATGGCAAATGTTTCGCATATTGAGCAATATATCATAAAATGCTTCTATTTCCTTGTTGCAAAAGGATGTTTAAGCACCAAAACATATCCTGCTAAAATCGACTTTAGTTCTTCTAAGGGCTTTTACCTAGCCGGTACTGAATATTATCTTCGCTCTCGAAACAAAGTGAATATTCCGTTTCAGAAGAATATCCGACAGACGACGCTTATGAGCCCGCAGACAATTTGCCAATTAGCAAAATAAATGCAATGAATGCAAAAAAAAATATGCAATGATCTTTTAAAGTATATATAAACGAATATACTGACTTATAATAGACTCATCACTGGTAAAAAGAATATATTACACACAGCAGCAAACTAAGAAGAAATATCTCGTCGCGAAAAGAAATTCTAAAAAAACATTTAGATAAAGGTGCCACAAAGCTAAAACAAAACATATTTTGAGAAACATGTAACCAAAAAGCTTATTTTTTCTCTCTCAATAATTTACCGAGTTTGATTCTGGATGGATATAGAGATATCCATTTCATACTTTTTTGTGCCTGTATCAGTCTAGATAATAAATTTGATAAATATTTAGTAAATAGGTAATAGTCTCGATTTTATCTTATTACGAATATTCAAAAATTAAAAATGCCTATTTTAAACTTAAATCGAAAAAGAATTGCCAGTTATTGAAATAAATATAAGTAATTGTCCTTATACCCTGAACAGCGTATATTAAGCTTGCCACGAAGTTTGTAACAACAGAGAGAAACATCGGAGATCCTACAAAATATATACATATATAAATGATCAGCGTGATTAACTGAGCCGATTTTGCCATGTCCTTCAATCCGTATACCTGTCTGTCTGTATTTGCTGCTCATTTGTCGGAACTGCTGTTATCGGACCACTATAAGATATAGCTGCCGTACAAACTGGCCGATCAAAATCAAGTTCTTGTATGGGAAACTTTTTTATTTGACAAGGTATCTTCACGGAATTTGGCATTTGGATTTATATCCGAGTCATCGCTACAATCTTCGCGGATATTGTTCAAATCGGATAGTTGCACACGCAGTTGCTATAAGAAATGCACCTGTGTAGGGTATACTTGTATAGCTTCGGTGCAGTCGAAGTTAACGTGTTTTCTTTTTCTTTCATTCAATATTATTTATAATGATTTAATTGTATGACAATAATTTATGTTAATTTACTTCACTTTCTTTTTTGCCTTCACAATTATCGTCCTTTTATTGCAATATTATTACCTCCCAATTTTTTATAAAAAAATATTTTTTTCTTCTGCAGTCTTTTTCTTTAAATTTATTGTATGTTTTTAGTTTTTGTATATTTTGTGTTATAATTCTGTTATGTTCTAATTTGTCATATTACACACATTTTTGTTTAAATTTATTAAACGTTTTCATGTTGTTTTTTTGTTTTATAATAATTCCAACTGTAGTCAAAAATTTACCATATATTATATAATATAATTATTATTTTTCTTTAGTATTTAATTCTCTTTATTTGAAGGTAAAATATTTATAAATATATTAAAAATAATATTTTGTTTATATTAATAAATGTTTAAAATTTTGTTGATAAACCTACAAATATTATTGAATTTTTTTTATATCCTTTAAAGATCAATCAAAAGCTTATTTAACATAAAAAAGCAAATGAAAAGTGAGTATTAAAAAATACAAAATAAAAATACAACAAATTAGCAAAAATATATTTTGTAAAAAATTAAATAAATTTTTAAAATTATTAGTAATCAGTTTTATTTTGCTTAAGGGGTTACATGGGTTTCACGTCTTCCAAAAACGAACAAAAAATTTCTTATCTTATTTAATTCTATAACATCTCTAGAATATTGTCCTAAATTCTCAAGTTGATCCCAGTAATATTTCCGGAGGTTACAGCTTCGAGAAGTTGCGCGCTCGAGGTCGCTATATACTTGTAGTCACTTAAAATTTTAAACGCGTTTTTCTCGATTTATTAAACAGATCCAGGAAAAGTGTATACAGGCTTACAGGTACAGGTATTATGTATTTTTAAATTTTAGTGTTTTATAAAAATGACTTAATTTTATTTTTCATTTTATATAAATATTTTTTGTTTTAATATATGTTTATTGAATTTTATTTTGCTTAATTTTAATTTTGCATCTAAAACTTGTAAATTTATTTAAAAATCCAGTAAGAATAATACTCTTTATTTTTAACAAATTGTTGTTAAAAATTATATTATATGATTTTTTTTATAATATGTAATTCACTTTGTTTCAAACTAAAATATTTAAGAAAAATTATTGAAATTTTTTTATTTAATTTAAAGTTCAATCGAAAGCTTATCTAACATAAAAAACAATTGAAAAGTAAGTATTAAAAAAATTGCCTTAACAAATTAACAACAAAAAAACATTTGTAATAAATAAATAGATATTTCTACAATTATTTATATTCTTATTTTATTATTTATTACTATTATTTAGTTTTAAATTATTTAATTTTATTGTTCAATTTTGTTTCAAAATTAAGTAGTTATACCTATTAAAATCTAAGCTTTTAATTTAATTAGTTATTTTATTAATATTTTCTATTTTAAACCTTTATATTTTGATTTTTGGACCATAATTTATCGCTTTCAAACTCTTTTTTATTTAAATTTATTTTATTTAAATATATAAATTTTTATATTAATTTAATTTTAATTTATTTCCCGCTTTCTTTCAAAGTAATGTGGCTTTAAAAAAGTAATATATAAATTTAAATGTAAAAAATTGCTTATTTTTTCTTTTATTTTTATTTTTGCTTCCACCCTAAATTTTTTGTTTTATTTTGTAAAACAATAAATAGGTTAAACCTTTATTATTTTATATTATTTTTTTAACACAATAATTAATTACAATAATTAATAACACACCCTAATACACATTTAACAACACACAGTTTTGCCAACTTACCTAATTTTTTTGCCGTGTATTCGTGCGATTGCGTTTTTCAAAAAATCGATTGTAATGCCATTATTACTCTCGCAAACACATTTCATCAATTTTATAACCGTTAATTAAGGGCGCAGTGAATGCGACGACGAATTTTTACAATTTACGATAGGATTATTATATTTTGCATTCATACATATATATATTTAATTTTGTATAAAAAAAAAATATTTATTGATATTTTTTGTTGGTAAATTGAATTGCATTTTGCATTTAATTTTATTGCGTCTTGCATTTGCGATACCGATTTGCTTTATGCATTTATTTTTCACGTTTCATTTCACTTGTCACAAAATCACTGCTGACAATCAGTTAACGAATGCACTAAGAACATACGCGCGTGTGGCAAGCAGCGCGTCTCATGAATGACTTGCGACTTCCAAATACAAAGGCAAAGAAAAACGTTTTGTGAATGCAAACGGCAAACGGCAGCCGAGCCGACAATAGCGCACGACGGTTGATTTGTCAATGAATGGAAAATGCGCAGGGTATCGTCTTAAATGAGCGCGGCTGGACACAGGATGGCTACAATCGCGCGCATGCAACGATAACACATTACTGGGGAAAACTGACGGCAGCAGCAATTGCAGAGTGGTGCGCGAAGCGTTTGCAATGGAGATGCACATACGCTGTTAGTTGAGCGGCATGGAATGAATGCTGAGCGGTTGGAACTTCGCGTGCCACTATTTGTCTTATCATCGTTTTGTAGTAAAAAGCCAATTACTCTTATTATTATCAGCAATTTTCTCTCATGCTTTCAAACGCTTATTTTGCATTGGAATTACTCGTGTGCTTTGTGGCCGAAAAACTGTTTGACGCGCGTGTCTAAGTGTTAATAACATACGCGCGCTTCACTGGACGCACGCGCGTACGCATACACAATTGCCATAAATTAAGTGGACCCGTGTGTGTGTGTTGTGCATTACAGTTGCAACGCTGTTGTTTATCACTTAATTATTTTCGGTAGCGCGGCGCGTTGCGTTAACTGCCTTTTGACTTAAAAACTTGTAGTTTCCATTCAGAAATACTAGTGCGCTTACTGCTCACTCATTTTACAGTTATATAACAGTTTTATATTCTTGTAATTGTGCATAATTACAATGATTAAGTCGTGGCGCCACCCGTTGCGCGGCTCTCTAATAAGCCAGTGCCGCGGCGCGTCGTGTCACGCGTCAATTTGCAGGTGAAATCAGTGAATTAATTTGCCTGCCATTTACTTATAACTTGCTGTTGTTGCGGTTGTTATTAGCGCGCGCTACATTCACACGAGTCTTATTGAACAGCAGTTAGAACAAAGGCGCTTAGTAGCGCTGCTTTTTAATTTGTTATTAAAAAAATGTGTATTATTTTCACAAGCGCGCGGTACATTTACGAAGTTTGACGCGTACGAAATACTTTTCTCAGACTACCGGCTGTACACAAATTTTCCGCGTTTCAATTCAGTCTTTTCGCCGCATCACTTTACACTTTTGCCCGTATTTTCACACAACAATAACAATAGCACTAACTAGGCAAAAGAAAACTGTTTATAACTCGTTTTTATAATTAGCCGCCGTGTTACGCGTTATATTTCGTAGTCGATTTGTTCACAAACTAAACAATATAACGTACTCGTACAACAAAAAATCGCATAATTTAATTCATTTTTTTTTCTACTTAATGCCGGTCATGTTTGGTTGTTGTTAATCAGCAGCCGCGCGTCGCGTTTTTAAACTACAAAATATTGTTAAGCAAGTAGACAAACACTAAATGCGCGCACACATGTTTACTGACCGCCGCCACTGTTGAACTGTTGTGTTCTGACTAAACGACTCTGAGCCGAACGTGCTGGTTTGGTCCGTTGCTTGACTGGCAAATCAATTGCTTGCCTGCTGTTGGCCGTATTGCTGGCGCTCCGTTGTTCAACACCAATACACACATACGAACAAGTGCGCGGTGGTTGCTTGTTGACTGCATTCGCGCTTTGTATGTGATAAGACGCAAAGAGAGCGCGCGTCTCGTATGTGCGCTCTCTCGCCCGTTTACAATATTTACAAGCGCTGTACGCGTTACTGTTAAATGCGATTCATGCTTATTTCGTCACTTTGTGGACTTGCAATTTGCACAAGAAGGTGCGATTGTGCCTTTATTACTTTAGCGCTTCTGAACTATGCTATGTTAACTGCGGCTGCCATAGCTGTTGTTTAGCGGCTTCATTTATATTATGTCTCAATAATGCATAGCATTGCAATATATACCACTCACACACTAGAATGCCTTTTAATTACTTATAGTAGGCTTACATGCGTGCGATTAAGTTAATAGAGCGCGTTAACAGATTATTGCAAAGTGGCAAGAGCGCTATTGTTAAAATAGAGCGCCAAAGTTATGTTGACATTTAGCAGAGAAGGAGCGCGCAAGTGTATAATTGTGAGGAGAAATGTATTTTTCAATGTATGTTGATTTTTTAAACGCACTGTAATGTTAATAGTTGCTTTCTGTCAGCAGCGCTGTTGACGGTAGCGCACCTAGAAGGTTTAGTGTATATTTTCAACGCAACTTGGTGGACCAAAACAAGGATTAACAACAGAGAAGTTTATTCGGAAAATATTTAACTGCTCTGAGCATGGCTACACTGAGTCCTGACTCTTACGCCAAAGAGCGTTTCAACCAATCTTGGATCAGGGTTAGAAGAGAGATGGATGCGCTGAACTCACTATGGTATATTAGGTTTAGGGATTCATCAGAGTCTAGAATTAAATCCTCAACTTCTGAAGATGAATATGAAACTTTTTGATTTGAAAACAAGCACTGCTTTGACAGTTAAACATTATAGGGGGAAAGCACACCCAAATATCAAGAACTAATAAGAAATTCTTGATCTCCCGAATGCAAAACTTTGCGTAGATGAAAGATTCCACCAGCTTCCTGATTCGAAGGTATAAAGTCACATAAATCTACATACATAGATTTTCGAATTGAAATTACGAGATTAATATCTTTGAGAATTCAAAATAAACTTATCGAGATAATATTGATATCAATAAGCTGAAATACTCGGATATCATTTCACCGAAGAAAGAGAAGTTGGTCGTGTATATATACTGTATGTATGTACGAAGTGCTTGAACAGTGTCAAAATAATCTGCAACAGATTTAGGAAAAAGAGCTGAAAACGAGGCAAATTCTTAAAAAAAAAAGGAGAAAAACATAGTCAGTAACATCCATTCGAGAATTATCATGAGGAGCTTACTTTCCTTTTATTAGACGAAGGCAACTGCTATATAATATGTTTGAATTAGACGATAGAACATACGATCATGAATGATAGACGTAAAAGCATTTATAATTTATGCCAATACAGAAGCCTTTGAAATTGGTAAAAAGTGTGACAAAATAATAGTAGGTTAAAACCCAATGGAAAAGGTAGATAAGACAAATACGAAAGGAAGAATATCGGAAAGAAGAGAGGCTGGTTGAATTTTAAGGGCGTATTCTAGTGTAGAATTTCAAAAAAAAATTGTTTTTTTTTTCATTTTTTCAAAGTTCAACTATTTAAAAATGTGCCTACGATAGGATTTTTGAAAATTTAAATTATTTTCGGAGATTTAATTGACCTTTACGCAAAACTTTAAATGCGGTTTTCTCAGACTAGACATTTTAAATACAATACCCACGATTTCTCGAGTTCCACTGGACCGATTTACTTGAAATTTTCAGAGAATCTTCCCTCATCTTTAGGATTAGGAATTATACCCAAATTTCAATTTTTAGAATTTTAAAAAATATAGAAAATAAAAAAGTGGTAGTCGTTTTTTTTTAAAGTCGCCATTTTGTCAGAATTTTTATTTTTTTACTTATCGCTTGTTCATACAATTGCGACCCCATTGCAGATTGATAATATTTTTTTTTCATTTCAGATGACTAGGAAGGTTGAAATCACGGGTATGCTCATGTGCCAATATTTTGCGATTTTTTTTTTAGTTTTTTCTGTACTCTTGTAGCATTAATAAATAACTGATAAAAAATCGATACTAAAAATATTGATTGCCTTATTTTTACGACACTTTAAAATTTAACTAAAATTCATGTTTCTAGACTAGAATACCCCCTTAAAGAGTTAAAAACGGTTTTTCTGGATTTATATATACATATATATATATTTGAAAATATATGAAGATGTAGGTAATAAAAAGATCGTCAAAAAATATCGAAATCTATTTCTTGTATTTCGCTTTTTTATGTACATTTTTGATAATCAGACGCCACTGTTCACAGCGCCTGTAGCAGTTATGCCGGTAGCGTCACCGTTGTGGGTGTCGCCGCTGTGCCGCTGCAAACATTGACTGTCGATCGTCGTCAGCGTCATTGTACAAGTAATCGGTTGTCTTTCGTATGAGTAATGCCGTGGCTTCTTGGGAAAAATTTAAATATTTTTAATTTGCAATTTTTTTATTTCCATTTTCATTACTGTTATTATTATTTGCAATTACCACACTTCAATTGACTCAAGTAATTCCATGCCGATTTGTCTGTGTGCAAGCAGATACATACCTCCTCGTGCATATATGTATATACATATGTATTATAAAAGTATCTATTTAACTAACTGTATGTACGGGGCGCTGAGCGCGAAAACTCAAACCAAGTCACTAATTATAAAGTTGTGTGTAAAATTAGCAATGATGATTCAACTTGTTGATATTTTTATTATCAATCACAGTGGTGATGTGCTTACATACAGACATATTTATAAGTATGTACATATTTAAAAGCATATAAGTAAGTATGTTTAGTTACAGGTGCTCTTTCGTAGCGTTATTAGTTTGATTAGTTGCCAAATGTTTGGTTTTTGTAATAAATTATTAATTTTATTCGATATTTAAAAAGTTTGAACCATTTAGAAACCAGCTATTTGTGCCACCCTGTGGTAATCAGATGACATATGCCGTTACAATCGCAAATTACCTCAATGTCAGTTACCGCATACAAACAGCCAGTTGATATATGTAAATACATATATACAATGTAGATACAGAGCGCGTGTATGTTGAACACTATTGCGGCAGAAAATCTCAAATTCCCAATTACCTCGTATTGTGAAATTCCTAGAAAGCCCCAATTTCAATTGTACTTTGTAAGTGTATATGTATTGTACATGAACATTACTACATTTTGCGGATAATTCGCATACGGTGCTGGGCATGCTAGTAAGGCTAACTTTAATTAATTTTAAAAAGAAAAGTTTAAAAACCAGGAGGTAGAAGAAGAAGAAGAGACTATAGAATATTTGCTATGCGAACTATTGGCCAAGGGTTTCTTGGCGATATCTCGAAAAAAAAGCTTTTCGTACAGATGAACTTCATCAAGAGCACAGAATGGTTCAGAGAGGACATATTGGCGGGAGGAGATTTTTTTTTCGGTGGTTTCACAATGAGCCTCCTCTGCCTACCTACCTAGGAACGATATATAATATATAAGGTCTAGTAAAAAGAAATGCATTGTTTTTTCGTTAAAATTAAGTTTTTATTTTGCATGGTTAGAATGATCCGATTAAGCTTACTTCGACAATTTTTTGTCATTTGCAAGACAATTTCATAGTACCAATCTTATTTCAATTGGCAAAAACTGGAACAGTCGTTTTCACAAGCTTCACTGGAGGCCAATTTTCACCAACAAAATCATTCGCCAAAAACAGAAACAGGTTGTAATCACTTAGTGTCAAGTCCGGACTATAAGGTGGATACATACAAATGTCCCTACCTAGCTGTCGGAGCTTCTGACGGGTCACTATCGATTTGTGTAGCCTGGCGTTGTCCTGCTGGAACACAATTCCTCACCCATTGGCCAAATCCGACCACTTTTGGTCGATTGCATTACGGTGCAATTGTTGGCGGTACAGTTGAGAATTAAGAATTTGGCCATAAGGGCGCACTTCAAATATTTCTGACCGCGAATATTGCCTGGTCACCGACCGATTTGCCCGTTTTCACTTGATGTTATCATAAGTGACCTATTTTCGACCCGAACTCGGTCCATTTTTGACGTTAAATCGTGTGACACATCCACATATCGAGCTTCTTTTTATATTTTACTCTTGGGAAATTGCAACAGTGTTTACATGACGGTCGGACCCGACGATTTCCATTTATTTATCGACATTCTTGACAATTTGTATTACAAAGCGTGGTGCATCTTTGTTATCATAGTTATCTAAAAAAAAAAACAAAATGGTGCGTAATTGGCTGTTACAATATCTGACTAGCATTTTCGGCTCTACCGTAGAAGAACTGCAACAAATGACGCGTGGTAAAACAATACTGAGTCAAGCGATCAACTGTCTGAGTAGCATTTTTTCGTTCGAAATCTTATCCTTCGAATGACATATAGCAGAATCAGATGCGAAATATAGATTACTAAAACTGTCTTTTGAAAATATGATTTATTTATTTTTTGACTTTATATATATATAGATAGAGAGACAAAAAGAAAGAGAGAGAGAGATCTACTGTATTAAACCGTATTTCGTATTATCCAAACTTTGTAAAAGAAAAGTTTTTAAAAAGGGTCAATAAAGCCATTGCGTGACGTTTTCTTATAGTGACAATACCTTTTTTCTACAACTTAAGTAATATTCCATGCCAGAGACAGAGAGAGAGCAAAAGTAAAGAGAAGAGTCAAAAATATCTCTTAAAGTCACCTGAATGCTTTTCTCAATACATCTATCTATGACAATGATCCAAAAAGTATGATTTTTCTTCCTTATAAGAATAAAAAATTTGTTAAATCAAATAATAATTAAAGTAAACTGGATAGCAAAAATATTATTCTAACTGTATTCATTTACTACCATTGCAAAATTACACATATTACAATAATATGTTCACCACTGTATAATAAACATTCGACTGCCTCAAAACAATCGGTGAACTTTGTTGGATGAGAAAATCGAAATACAAAATATGCATCTAATCAAGT